ATGAGCCTGTCGAAGCGCAGGTGTGCTATAAGTACTGGCTTACTGCCCTGAACCTCCAAGTGAGGAGGGCTGGCTTGGGGTGGCCTTCAGCATTATTTCGTGATGCTACGTGTTCCGACCCCAACCTCTCAGCGTCGACCTCTTTCAATGAGCCCCAAGAAGTCCTGCAAGACTTACACGCAACCCCCTTCAAACCCCTCGAGTGGCCCTCGAGGGCACTGATGGGGACTATATATGGTGGCCACGACCCAGCTGACCATCCTTGCGCAAGCATTGCGCCATTGGGCCCGCGCGCCAGTGTGCGAAAACGTAGGTTGCCTGCCTTTGAGGTGGTCTTAAACATTTCAGGGACCAATACTGTAGAGGCCAAGGGATGGTAAGGGTGCGGAGCAATTTGCAGGGAGGTGGGGCACACTTTGAAAAAAACGTGATGACTTGTTGGCTGCAGTGTTTGGGTTTGCTCGCTCCCATCCGTGTTTTCATTGGTAAAAGGACCGACGGCAGGAGACCGGAAACACCCCTCTTCCTTGTTGGTGTGTAAATTGGAATACTCCCTACATCCTACACCGGCCACCGCTGTAACATCAAAGAAACTTCGGAGTCCTGAGACGTGCACCGAAAGCCTATAGTGGGCCTACAGCCTTATCCCAGCGCGCTCTGCCAACTAGGGACCCAGATGTTGAGAAGCCCCCCGTCTCAGCAGCAAGCAACAGCGCAGCAGCTAACATAGGGGCCAGAAGAACCACGAATACTGCTCTCAGGAATCCTCCCTCTTGTTATACCAGAATGTGCCCCCAAACCCTGTCCTGAACATTAAGGCCGCTATACTATATTATTAGGGCCTGCGGCGACTAGGGTACTGGAGTCTGCACGGGGACAGGAATACGGTTCTCATAAAACGGAAAAACCCCTATATTGTTTGGAGGTCGGGGCACCATAGGATCGCACAGGCAAGGAAACACAGGACGCCTTGGCCGGCAGAGTTAGGGTTTCCGTGTTAGGGGTTGAGGGGTTTGGGGCCTGCCTGGACCCTACAAAACCTTCCGTTTCAGGGTTCCCTACTATGTTTTCATTCTATACAAGACCTTCCGTTTTAGGCTTCCCTGCTATGGTTTCAGTCTAAATTCTTCAAGAAGGGTTTACGATCTCGCAACTCGGACACCGCCAAACGCGGTCTCTGGACTTTTCAGTCGTGCCGCATGGCTTTCAGCTTCGTCGTTCTTTAGGGTTTTTCTTGTGCCGAGGCCTGAGTCAAGGACGGTTTCAGATTCAGGACCCTGAAAGAGGGTTTAGGGTTTTGTGGTTTTTTCCCTTTAAGGTTTAGGGTTTAGGGTTTTGGGGTTTCGGCGCTCACACTCGGACAAACCAGGCGAGGCATATGAGTTTGGGGTTTAGGGTTTAAGGTTTAGGCTGCAGAGTCTCAGTTTTGGGGAGTTTTGCAGTGACCTGTGGGACGTCTTGGTCTAACGGATGCAGGGCCTGAGGTCGTTTTGGCGCTTGAGGACCCGAAGCCCGACACCTTCAATGCCATGTAGGCCCTAAAGCCTAAACCAATACCTTAATACCGCAATGCTACCTTACTTGGAGGGTCGGGGGACTTAGTAACTGGTTATTTTTAAGGACTTATAAGTACCATAACCCCAATTAGGGTCCCTTTTAGGGTACTTATAAGTCTAATTACTACCTACTTACTAAGTCCCCCGACCCTCCACGTAATGCCCGACAACCCTAATTCCTTCATGCCCTTAGGGTTTAGGTCTTAAGTGTATGGGTTGCGCATGATCTTTAAGCCCAGGATGTCGCTAGGCTTGGGGCGGCCGCTAGCGCTAACCTGTTCCGCACTGTGTTAGCGATCATCCACCGTGAAAGAAGCACCACATCAAATTCCCCCTGCAGTAGCATCGAAAGTAACACCGTAATTGCTTATCAATGTCTTCTTGCAGAAAGCACATCGAAGCCGTCGATGAAGACTCGACTTAGCTTGTCAGACAAGTTGCCGACTACTTTGTGCTGCAAAGCCATGGCTGTCGCAGACCCATGGCTGATGTTCACGCAGCCCTTGCTAAACAAGAGTGAACTGGATGTCTCTAGGAGCATGCTTTCTTCGACGATTTGGCCAGGTTGCGCCCATTGACTGATGGATTTCTTTGGTTATGAAGCTTTCCAGGCATTGCCGAGCTTACATGTGTTGCTGAAGTTCCCAACTTCGGAAGCAGTGTTCATGCATCTTCTCTAGGCCTTCATGCCGCGACATGCAAACTCAACTTCGCCACGGTCTCGCTCAAGGCTTAAGGAGAGCTGTTGAAGCCAACTTCAAGTTGCCTTGAGGGTTCTCAGTCGGTAGAAGCATGCTACTGCTAAAGATTAATTAAGCCAGGAACAAGTCATGTCAGATCCACTACATCAGATCTTTTTGAAGACCCTACACCCTAAATCCTTGATTGCACAGACTGACACCCTTAACCCTTAACCTCACACCCTAAACAGGCAAGCATTCATCAGATGTAGTTGCTCATGCCTCGAACCACCAGCAGATTTGTCCAAGTCAGGTCCGTGGTTACAGCGCGGCCAGCGACATCAGCCAAAACAAAGCTAATGTGCTGGCAGCTGGAGAAGACCTTCATTTCAAACAATGATTTTCAGTGCCTCTAACTTAAGATTCCAACCAGTCTGGCATCATGGTTCGCAGCAACTCCTGAAATGCCGAACCATGTGCAAAACATCCACCACAGCAAACCGCCATCTTCGTCATTTTTTTATCGAGATCGCTTCATGCTTAAAAACAAACACGTTCGAGGGCCAAACTGATCACCGCGTCGCATTGTTGGACTGCTTGGGGCCAGTTGCAGCGATCGCTCTGGAAATTCTCAACACAAGCTCTTTCAGTTTTCCTTCTTCTGCACCTTTGTCGCCGGGTCGGTAAGCAGAAAGCACACATTTCGGCAGGAATATCTTGCATCGGCGACAGATGGGTGCCCACGAAATCCTTGGTTGTTGGAGCTCTCAATGAGTCTTGAATCTTGTGGCAGCTCTCTCTCTCTCCCTCTCTTTGCTTTGCTCGGGGTTTAGGGCAGGAGCAGTCCTCCCTCTCTCTCTCTCTCTCTCTCTCTCCCTCCCTCCTGCTTGCTTAGCTTGCTTGCTTGCCCAGCGTTTGGGGTGCCAGGCAGACCTCGCCCCCTGCGCTTACGCGCTCCGCTGTCGTCTGTGTCTGGAGTACGTAGGCATGGGACTTCTTGAGAGCTTAGTACCAGTTGCGCCCCTTTTATCTGCGTGGGTATCGAACCCAGCTCGAGAGGTGCTCAGGCTTTATTACTGGAGTATGCGTCTGTGAACCTTTCCGTTTCACAACTACTAAGGTATAGTTGTCGATGCTGGGTACTACTGCTATGTTCCGAAGCATATTCGGTGTGCTGGTGTATGCTTCGCTCCGCACGGCTTTGGGTGTGGGAAAGCACACAAGCACCATGTTGAACCCCGTGCCGAGAGCTTGTATGCACCTGTAACTTCTTAGGCATTAGGTGACGCAACCAAGCCGATACAGCAGACCTAGCTGGTTACAACATGGCCACGTACTTTTGCTACAGCTGCCGACTAGTTTGGCGGTCGTTTCCAACATCTCTCTCTCTCTCTTTCTTTCGTCACGTCTCTCTCTCTCTCTCTCTCGCTCTCTCTCGGCGAGTTATTTTCCGGGCACTTGGCCCGCCCGTATTGGGCTTTGTTGACGGGAGTGAAACTTTTGGGTTGGGTTGACCACTGACAAGGCAGGACTTATGTTTCAACATGTGTTTCAGTTTGGATGTTTTACCCCATCCACAGTGACACTCCGGACGCACTACGTGTGAAGGTTTCCCCCGTTGCAAACAAAGTAGGCATGGACTCAAACCCACGAGCATGAGGCAGAAGGAAAGGCTTCCAACTTTTTGCGACAGTCTTGCCTGAGCATTCCCTCGTCCGTAATCTACCTCGCAGACAACCAAACCCAGTCACACAAACAAAACCTCTCTACCTCTCTCTCTCTCTCTCTCTCCTCCCTTTTTCGCCAAATTTGAGGTAGAGGGCCGAAGGCCCTGTGCAGTGCGCCCCCCCACGCATAGTGGGGGCGAGTAGATGCTTCGGTACGAGGTTCTCCGGGCAACAGGCGCACTCACTTTGTGTCGGCGTCTTTGGACCTCTGGCTCTTTCTCCCCTCCCCCTTTTCCTAAGCTTGTGTGCGTGCTTCCCGTCGTGTCCATCTCTCACGCATGATGCTATCCTGCCTGTACTCTGGGAGCCTGCATCATACCGATACGTTGGCCAGCACTGTTCGGAAAAGCATCCCGGCAAGCAAGCAGGAAGTTTTACAGTGCACAGCAGCAGGAAGTGGTGCTTAGCTTTCTAACGGATGCCAAGCCGCGCAAGTGCGCTCGAATCTGGTGCCTCCTACCTGCACAGCCGCCAGAAAACAAAGTGGCACATGTCTCCCAAACGAACGGTTCGTCGCGTCTCATCCAACACCAAAGAGATTCGGACAGTCTGGCTGTTGGAACCCTTAGATAGCATAGGGGTCACTCTTCACAACCCGCTTAGTTCAAATCCCGCCCGGCCAAGTAAATATAAAACACTTCATCTTCATGGAAGGCTAAGTACACCGAAACTGAGCGACTGCATCTGCGAGCTCTTGAACAACTCCAGATGAGACTTCGGTACTGATGCATGAAGTCTGACCTGCCTCGTGAGACATATCGACGCGAATGAAGGAAGGCCGTTTCTTTGGCAGCGGATCTATTTTGTTCAAAAACGTGCTGCTTTCATGTCACATGGTGCCTGTGCTGTGATGCCTGGCCCGAGCCTGGAGTCTGACTAGACGACTGGGTCCAAGTCAGCGCAGGGCCCACCGATGTCAGGGCTCTGAGCTGTTTAGACCTACTTGTCGGGTATCATGGGGAACTAAAGGTCAACCTTTTTGGCTTATATAGGGATTATACAGGGACCATACTTCCCAAACAAGGTTAAAGGTTTTTCTATTCTACTACTAGGTTTAGATGATATCGACTTCGCCAGGTGTCATGCCCATCTCCCACTGTCAGGAGGGAAGCAACGACTGCAACATGTCCTGCATGGACATCCTGCACTGTACCAGCAACAACGGATGACCCCATACAGAACCGGCGCACACACGATTCTCTGCGTTCTAAAGCCGGACTTTCGACTGTCACTGCGCAAAAACTTCTGGCCTGTGGCAATCCGAATGCCCGTGGCGAAAAGGGCATCACGAAAATGCGCCAGTGTGCGCAAATGCGTGGTTGCCGGCCTGGCGCAACATGTGCAAGGTTCTCTCTATCCAAGGATTTTTTGGAATGTCAGAGGTCAGAATTTCCCTGTGGCTTTGGGAACAAATTTGAGGACCTCAAATAAACGGGAAGTCTCGAAGCAACCACAGCTCGCACCACGGAAGTCTTGCGAAACCTGGACATGCAGAACTGGACAAGCTGATCCGTGGTGAGGAAGCTCGTGGCGATGTTGCATCATCTATTTGGCAAATCTTGGCAACCAATCAGGCCGTTCCTGCAAATGAAGGGACCTAGTAGCCTGAACTCCTGCACACTCAAGTGGTGCTCTAGAAGTCGCCTGCCTACCGATGTCGCTGACACTCCGTCGCTGTGAAGGCGAAGGTGCCACGTCGATTCGCGCCTCCGGTGCTTCAGGGGCGCATCAAATGCTCCTAGAGTCCTACTTGGAGGTTCATGGGACTTAGTAAGTACAGCTATAAGTACCTTACCGTACTTAATAACCCCAGCTACTAAGTCCCATGAAGCTCCAAGTAAAGTCCGGCGAGGTCATGAGACCGGATTTCTAGCTATTCGCATGGGGACTCCTGCATCTCTTCGGTTCTGCAGCTGGGGTCTATGGGCTTTTTTGGCCTCCTGCCTGCTTGGCCCGCTAGAGCGGAAGCCAGAATGGTTTAGGGTTTATAGGGTCCTGCGACCACAGCTCCTCTCGGCAGCCACATCTCAGGAGGCGAGCACTGCACCAGAAGCAAGAAAAGCCATCACACCGAAAATCGGTTCCCTCAACTACGAACTCACTTCGCAGCACCGATATCAAGGACCCTATCCTTGGGATTTTGGCGGCGATTTTGGATTAACAGGGCTAGCCCATCAAGGGACTTGGCCTTTTTACTTGGTGCCTTGCGTCTCTGCAGCCTCCCTACACTTGCTCTGCATCGGCCTCGATGATGGACAGGTCATCCGGAAGATCGTGGGCAAGGATGAAATACTCTCCTCACTATTGGTTTAGGAGTTTTGAGGTTTTGCCTGACACCCGCACTCGGGCAATACCAGGCGAGTTTAGGGTTTATAGGGACCAAGACTGGAAACTTGATGTCCCTGCTAACGGCACGAAAAGAAGATTTTGGAACTCTGGAGCGCCGCCCACTGCATTATCAGAGAAGGCCCCTAAACCTCTGTAGATCATTGCAAAGCTTTCCCTGCACAGGTTTCCTTATCATCCGTACTCACAAACTATACACCCAAGACTTTAATCTGTGTATTACGGCCATCTCTTTTTCCGGTTACCCAATGCCTCCAGGGACCTTACAGTTAGGGCCGTAGACCCCTTAAGGATCCAATAGTAAGGTCCCTGGAAGCCCAGGGTTAAGGTTCAGGGTTCAGGGTTCAGGGTTTTAGGGTTTACGCTCTCGCAACTCGGACAATCCAGACGAGGTTCTTGGTCGGCAGCTGGTTTTAGGGTTTAGGGTTTAGGGTTCAGGGTTTAGGGCAGCTCTGGACACTTCAACCACCAGATCCCATCAAGGCCACAGTGCAAAAGCATGATCCAGGGCCGCCCAAAAAGCACATAAGCAAAAATGAGGATAGGGATATCCCATATAAACCCCCTTACACTGAATCCCAATAAGGTGGTGCTTATGTCCTTTTTGGGGTCCCTATGATCAAAATCGCTGCTTTACAAACGGAAGTGCGGCGATTTCCTGATTTGGGGCCTTAAGAATTGCAGTATGTAGGGTTTCGGTGTATATACAGCAGCCGGAACATAGAATACGAGGATTCTATTTCTGAAAAGTCCTAGTATTCAGACCTGAAATTTAATACCTTTCCTGCTTTTCCAGCGGCGCTGTAGGGTCTGGGTGTCCAGCTGCAGCCGTAGGCAGTAGTAGCCTGCATCAAGCCCTCAGAAGCCCAAATAATGGACAACATATTGGGGCCTTGATAATTAGAATAGGTTTTTGCGCATATTGTAATTACTCTACTTATAAGAAGGAACCCACAAAAACAGTAGTTGTCTAACCAGGCGGAACTGAAGACACTTCAAGAACATGCTGCAAGTTTCCATTGCAGATGGACCTATCTAGGAGGTTCGGTGGCGTTCCGTGATCACCTGGATCGTTCATGCCGGGGCCACGCAACCTGAATCAACTCGAGGTCAACGGCAGGACAAAAGCATGACGTGTCTCCGACAGCGTCCCATGCAAGCTACTGCTACTGCGACGAGGTGGAGCACGCAAAACTGAAAACTCAACTGGCACTTTGGAGTCTCGCGACTCGCATCTTCGAGACGGTGGGGCATCTACGTATTCAGATTGCCCGTAGCCCTCATAGTAAGTCATAAACAATAACTCGAAGTATCCAGCATACGAACACTGACCCTCAGAGAAATCCCCACAAAACCCAAACTCTCCAAAGCTCATATGATGCCTGAGCCGCAGGATCGGGACCGGCCTGCATAGGAGATACCACAGAGCACGAGACCGGAGCTCGGTATGTCCAGGCGATGTAAGAAACCGAAACCATGCCCGGCATCAGAAGCCTGGAAGATCGAGTTTCGTTTTTTGGTTACTGGTTTAGAGAGTAAGTCCTATATGGGCAAGGTGAAGAACCCGAAATTGAGTCCACTGAAAAGCCTCAGCAGCGTAGAAGTATCTAAGCACTTTCTTCGCCACTCACCCAGATCCTCCACACCTAGCGGACCAGCCAACGCCTTCCGCAGAACATGACCATCAGCTTCGCAAATACAAGGGGCAAAGCTTGAAAGCCAGACACCACACAAGGAGAATAGAGCAAGATTAACTTTCGAATCGCAAGCCTGGCTGGCTTATTATGCACACGAGCTCGGGAATGTCTACGGGGCCTGGGCATCACGTCGGGCCTGTGGGGGCCTTTTGACAAGCATAAGAGTAAGGCTTCGGGATAAGTTGGGATTTCTGTACTTGCCCTAAGGCCCCATAGTAGTTCCTTTTTGGGGTTCATAAATAGAACCCTGTCTCGTAATCCTCGAAAGGAACTACTATGGGGCCTTGGGGTAATTTACTTATGATAATCAGGAATCCCAAAGAACACTATTGATCAGCAGCTGTATTCATGCATCTATATTGTCTGGCAGCCCAGATGCAATCGGATATCCAGCCACGCCAAGCTCCTTGCGCAGGAAAGACCTGCATTAGCCGGCTCACTGCCGCGCTGTCGGAAAGTAAGGCCTTATTACGGAAGGGTTTGGGGGACCAGGTCAAATCGGACGGCCTCTGTCCTCGCTAGCTACTCTTGTGGGTTCGTGCATGCCCCGGAATGTCTTTCTGGGTTCATGTTTGCAAGGTGCTTGGCAACTTCATGGCTCTCCCGCGAGGAGTCAACCCCAAACCTTAAACCCCAAATCCTACAACCCTAAACCTTAAACCCCAGAGCCCTAAACCCTAAAACCCTAAACCCTATAAATCCTAAACCCAAAGCCCTAAACCCGATGCAGGGTTTCTCATCCGAGGCTCGAGAGTGGCAGATGTTCCTGCCCATCTGAGGCGACGCCGTCTACCTGTGGGCCAGTCACTCGTTATCGAGAGCATGGAAGACTCATTAGTTGGAAAATTGCTAATGCTCATAATAATCGCCAGAACAGTCATACGACTTCTACTATAATACTAATACGGTTTTAATACGGCAAAAAGACATGCTAATACTACTAATACTAATATTAATACCAGTAGCAATCACAATGACACTAATGAGTATGACTATGACTATGACTATGACGATGACTATGACTATGACTATGACTATGACTATGACTATGACTACTAGTACTACTACTACTACTACTACTACTACTACTACTACTACTACTACTACTACTACTACTACTACTACTACTACTTCTACTACTACTACTACTACTACTACTACTACTACTACTACTACTACTACTCTTACTACTTGTAATAATAATACTAATAATCATAATCGTAGTTATGAAAAGCCTGTACATACTCCCCCGCTCGGGGCCGAGGTTCCGGGAACTGGTGCGATCTAATTCCAACCTTGCAACAATACGATGATGGTTATGATGAAGATGATGGTAGAAGGGTGTTATTGGGGTTCCTCTAAAGGGTTCCTAAAGGGGGTCTATAAGGGTAACTAGACCTAAGAGTAACCTAGGCATAAAAAGGGTGCCCTTTTTGGTTTAAAGGGGCTTATAAGGGAACCTGAACCCTTAAAAAAGGGAATAAGGGCCTACTCTGGGTCCTAGGTAATCTAGTATAGGGTCCTTAACAATTAGAATAGGGTCAAGGATAATAGAGGAACCTGATTAAGGAACCTTGGGCCGATTCGGGTGCTTAATATGGATCCTAATATGTTGGGGGTATAGGGCCAGGGTTTCATAATCAGGTTGCTACAGTACTGAAATATGTAAGAATGGTAGGTAATTAAGAAGGGCATTGGGGATCTTGCTTCTTTGGAGATCTTTTGTTGCAAGACCTGCCTTAAAAACGTAGGTCCTAGCATCATCTAAACAAGGGCATGCGAACGGGGATTCCCGGATTCCCCTTGGGGGAGTGCCGCGTGCCAGACATCGTCCAGACTGACTGTTTCAGTCTAGGAACAAACAAAAAGTTCAAAAGTTCCCTGGCTTCCAGGGGGCTGAACCGTTGCAACTACATGAGTGAGCGCAGTTCCGCCGCTGCTTTTGCGAATGACTCTCCTCCTCGGCAGACATCGAAGACGCAATCGTCGAAGAAACTCCCAGACTCCCGCGTCTCCTATCCACATGGCATGAGCTGCGGAGTACTCTGAAGATGAACTTAAGATTCGCGGTTGAGGGACGCGTTTGGTCCGTTTGGTAAGGTCTCATGCAACGCTCTATTGTTTGGCTAACGGTAGTTTGTGCCACAGCATGTGATTGCTTTTAAGCCATCAGAGGATTCATGCAGAATGTTGGAATCTCTAGATGTATTCTATGTCAACTTATATGATCTCCCACTCACTCAGCAGAGCAGTGCAGGAAATACCAAGCGCCGTAAGCGCATCGTCGTTTATGGGGCTCTACACTCTAGACGATGAACACAAGCGGTAATTGGTAATTATTTTGTATGCGGAGCTCTCGAAACTCGCAAGCAATGCCGTCTTCATGCACTGCGCGGCAAATTGGCTCGGCGGAGGCTCCTCGCCGAGATATTCCGAGCAGGTGTCCTCGGCTTTCGTCTTAGCGTCTCCAGTGCAGGAGGTCACCAGCAGGTGTTTCTCCTCCGGGCTTGCGACTCAGTGGCAGTGGATTACCAAGGCCGATTTCAAGGGTGCTCTCAAAAGGCTGTCACCATGACAGGGCGGACAAGTCAACTCTCCTCTTGGCTCTTCTTCAGGAAGGATGCGGCGCTGTCGCTCCCACCTGCGCTAGGCTCGGTCTTCCGGATCAAGAAGGGGCGCCCAAGGACAGAACCGGATCCTGGCATACCCCCACCTAGCGATTGCCAGCTCTCCTCGACTGGGAACCTTTCCTGCGAATGGCCCTACCACACCCTTCTCTCTTGAGCGCAGAAGTCCAAACACTTACACGGGAGGCCGCGGTAAGCAGAGCTGTCCTGGCTTTTGGCGTTGCCGGCTTGGATTTGGCCTGTCAGGAACTTGGCTTCGAAGGCCTTGCGCGGGGAGACCCGCAAGTTGATAGCACCGCTCCTGAGGTGTGTCCCAGGGCTTGAGGCCGATACTCGGCACCCTTCCACTTCCTACAGAAATTTCTTCGCATTCGGTTGTAAAACCGGTAAAAGAGGTCTGGTGGTTCATGTTAAGCCAAAAGACCTCAAAGAAACTCAAGACTGTGCTAAAATACCCTTCAGATTCATGCACACGGTGTTGAGGACAAGAATGTCTTTCTTGCCATGAGGTGTGTTGATGCCAAGGTTGACGTGCTTTGCGTTGACATACTCGAAGCCCGTCACGTACTCGCCCCCTTCCAGCAAGGACAGCGATGCCTGACTTTTGCTTGTGCAGTGCAGCTGCATACCGCAGGCAAACTTTCATCGTGGCCAAGGTGCATTTCGCTCGATGACTGACCACGACCTATGCCCATTCTTGCTGCGCCACTGGCAGTCCTCTGACGTCAGCTCCATAGCCTCAGGGGAGCACTCTGTGTAACACTCCGACCACGGTGCAACAGGGCCCCATAGTAGTTCCTTTTTGGGGTTCATATTAGACTTCTATAGGGTAATGCCAAACAGGAACTACTATGGGGCCTAAGTAAGAATCCCAGACCCTTCTGCTGCCTGTCGGAAGCGACCTTTGGATCGATCCACCAACAGCAAGCCTTGGACTGTCCACAGCGGGCCTCTCGAGGCCAGGATCATGGCGGGATTGCAGGGATTTCTGCGACGAGGCGTGATTTTGGAGGATTCCGCTAATCGCCCAGTCAAGACTCTGTGGATCGTTGTGTAACTTATGAAGATACCATCATGTGAGCGACGAGCCTCCATACGTTGCGTAGAGTTGCCAATCGACGTCGCCTCGGGAATTGAGGATTGAGGCTGCTGCCACCTTTTGCACCAAAAAAACAGGTCCAGCTTGCGTGATCTTCAGGGTACAAAGCTTGTGTCTGAAATGTGCGACACAATCAAGACCCCCGAAGAACCTGCAATCCTGTGCAGCACCCCTGCTGGAACCGGAAGCAGGAAAAAAACAGGCGGCTTAGACACCAGTACCGCCGTAGTGGAACACCGAATAAGTTCCTTTGTCGTAGAGGTCGAACTCGTTTCCGTCCAAGGTATGGATGTGCGGATCTCCCACTACACCACCACTCCTTTGTTGAGAACATACATGGGTCGTACGACTACTGGTTCACTGCGCCCGACGAACTTACAGCTAAGACTCCCATCGCAGCAGCCGAACTGAACGGCATAGTTGCTCAGATCTTGAATGTTGTTTGGGTTGTTGGAGTTTGTTGCAAGGCTCACCACACAGAATTCATCCGGAGCTCCTCGGTCCCCAGGTGTCCACTTCGTGCAAAAGGTCTCGTCCACCTGAAAGGGGTTTCTCTGGGTTTAGGGTTTAGGTGTTTCTCTGGTTGGGGAGTGCCCACATCTGGCCGCCGAGGATAGTAATTGCCACCAGCTGCAGCCTTCGTATATGCTTGGACTAGAGTTACCGCTGCCTCAATGTCAATACGGTTGCATCAGGATGGTAAGTGCAGAGTGCTAGCAATCGCGTAGGCCTCTGGATTAGTTTCTAAATATAATACATATAAATAATTAAGATAGCATGATAAGGTAGGGCCTGGGGGTTGAACGTAACACTGGAGGGTAGCAGTGCGCGCACCCCCCACCTTGCCATTTGATGGACCGCCCTTTGTCCCACATGTTTGTTTCCCAGAGTAGCAAGCTCGACCAGCCGCACTATTGGGGCTCCCGCTCTTGACACAAATCCTAAGACGCCCGGTGCAGCATGCAGCAAAACAAGCACCACTTTCCCTTATCCTCCAAAACAACAGAAGATGTGTTCACGGTCCGTGGCCCAGAAGCTGCACGGGGCAGACGCCTTGGGGGGGGGTGGAAGCAATGTCCAGCGCTTGGAAGAGGGAATTCAAACTTGGCCGTGGTCCATGTTCCTGCGACTGGATTGGGTCTGCACGGGTTCGACCCGTGCGTTTCCGAGAACCAGCACTTGTCGAAGTTGTAGATCTCAGAGAAGAAGCAATCTACGCCGCTTGTGGTCTTGCAAACCTTGTCGTCGGTGAACTTCTTCTTGCACGTGGCACCGCTCGGAAGCTCTGCCAGTGACGAGCGACCTTCTAAAAAAGCCGGCTTGGTGCTTCCGTGCGCTGAGCTGTGCTGTTGGAGCATGCACGAGGCATCCTTGGTTGCCACCAGCATCTCAGCAAGACGCATGAGAATCGCAATCAAAACACATCATCTCCACAAGACCGAGAATCCTTCTCCTCTGCCCATGCGCAAGCCAGGAAAATTCCTAGCCGGATAAATCGTGCCATGGTCAGGCGAATCTTGGCGCGAAGAGGTTCAGTAACTAGGAATTGAAAAACGGCTGCAGTAGAGGGTGAGCCATTGGGATGCTAGCTCGAACCAATCTCGAACGATTCTCCATATTCGAGAGACTCCGAGTATCTCTGTGTATCGGTATAGCTCCATGATGCTCCAAGTCAACCCCTGTGCAAATGTGCGTCTGTTCCGCCACCCTAGGTGCAGAGGAATCGTAGCTCCAACACATATAAGGCGCAGGTTCTGCGCAACAACGTGTCGTGGACTGAACTCTTTGGTTCAGCCATTATGTCTCCGTTCTGAATGCCAAGGCCCAGAAACTCAGAGTTAGCAACTTCCGTAGACTCGTGGGATTAGGACCTATCTCTCTCGACAAGCCGCAATGAAGGAGAAGCAGCACACTGCCGCAACTTTTTTTGCCCACTCAGGGAGTCACAATCCCATAAGAAAAGAAAAGCACGGGAGTTGTACTTCTGATACATTGTCACTGAATGGACCTGAGTACATCCACGAAAGAGACCACGAAACGCGAAGCACCTCTGGCTGTAAGTCTCTGTTTCGCCCGATGTGGCAGAAGCATGGCTTGCAGTCCTGCACTGTGTTAAACAGACGAAGGCCTCCCAATCTGCGGGCTTGTAGATGACCCACATGCCCTTGATGCCCAATGCCTGGTGCATGAAAGGCTATGGTAGCATGAGGTCTGTGTAGTTGTGGCTAATCAGTTCGTTGGATTTCAGGCCCAGTGCCCGTGTCGACAGGAATGACCCGTGCAGTGGCAAAGCACGAAGGATGCATGCTGCTCAACAGTGGGCTTGGGACTGACTGCGATGCGCTCGCGGGGTTTCGATGTGGAGCATGTGGGCTTGTTGTCTGAGATTTCTCTAGGAACAAGGCCGGCGCTTGTCGGCTCAAGTGCAAAGTGCACATGCCGGGTAACCGACAGAACAGCACCACAACCTCTTCAGCATCAAAAAGGCAGGAAGACCACGGGGACACCAGGAACAGCAACTGATAATCCGTCATGGCGACATTTTCGAACTGCAGCTCCCGATTCCTAAGTCCCCCTGAGCTCTCGGCGCGCCGTGGCTGTGAGTCTCCCTCTCGCTCGGGCAGCGGTTCTGAAGGCAGTGCGGTGGTGCCCAGGCAGGCATCCAAAGCAGCCGACAGAGAGAGCAACACCTGCGGGCAATGTCGACCCAAGGGTTCCGGGTTTTCATGGGCTTATCGGGGAATACGGGTTCCTTTAAAGGGGTCTATAAGGGCTACTATAAGGGTACTATGATATAGGAGCCTTAATAGTCAGAATAGGGATTTTGTAAGGCTTACGGGTTCTGGGATGTTTTGGGTTTCGAGATTTTGAATCTGGGATGTATGGACTCTATGGGGATTTGGCGCTTCGAGGCTGCAATGCAAGCTGGGGGATCTTCGGATCTAGGCTTCTAGGGCGGTTGGGGTTTAAAGGGAACTCCAGAAAGTTGGAATATGGATTAGTGGTAGGATCCCCTATAATTTACCGAAAAAAGGGGGTAAGATAGTCATCTTCCAACTTTCTGGCTTTTACCTTAGGGGGAAAAGACCCACCATGGAGACTGCGCGCCCGGAAAGCCATCACTTCCTATTCTTGTCCAAGCTCTTCATCCTCTTCTGCATAATTATGGGTAGTTCTCCTAGGGTCCGTGTTATACAGCTGCCAGACTCTTTGGGGGCCGAACAGCGAACCCTACGTTTAGAGCAGTCCCAAAATTCAGCCGTTCGGTCATACATCTTGGGTCCTTCGGTTGATGATATTCATCCTGCATTACCTAAATGACCCTAGACGATGGGAATTACCACCAGTAGGTTCGGTTTAGGAAAGTACGTGTACATCGTACATAGAGAGGCTGGAAGCAAAACCTGAATCCCCAACTGTAGCCCCAAATCCTGTTGAGAGGCCCCTTGCCCAGAAATCCCATCAGCCAGAGGCACTGTATGATTTGGGATGCTGAAAACCCCAGTAGTACGTTCTTTCAGGTCTCCGGGGTAAGGTACTGTCAAAGGCGGACATTGCTGTGAAGGAGAGCAGATTGAACCGGTACTGAAGATGTACCAAGCACTAGAAAACTTCACCCGACTGGCCTGTCGCAGTCGAGATCGTACCTCTCAGGAAATCTGCTTTGGGGCGACAGGGCGAAGGCTTCTGGCAATTCGACCAATTATGCGACACAAACTTGCGCCTGTTTGGTGACAGCCCGGCCTCATCCTCCAAGAGGTTCGCGAAGGCCAGGGCCCAGGCCAGTGAAAGGATGCACGTGCATTTTGACACCAGCTCAGCACGGTCGAAGGGAGGATGCCTGCGTAGGGAGTCTCGCAAACTTAACCACTCGACCCTTTCGTGAATCCTACCATCTTGAGACGCCCTTACAAGGCCGCCCACAACATCCACAAATTGAGCCCAAAACCAGCTGTTTGGTGCAGCTTACCATGCGAAAGTTTACATGAGGCATTTCCACCAGAAAACGGCAACTAGCATTGTTGCACGTCGCCTCGAAGCTTTCACAGTGGACGGGGGTACGTGGCTGCACTGAAGCAGCAAGACGAAAACTACAGTATGGAAGATCCAGGCTCTACTATAGGGGCCTTAATAATAATAGTAGTAATAATCAGAATAGGGTTTGGGGGTATATTGTACTCTGATGAAAATAATAAGGAAGCTTGTACTACAAATATAATCAGGAACCCCCCAATAGCATAGGCACTTCTGAAGGCCTCTATATTAGGTGTATCCAGGTTGCAAGTCATCCGCCCAGAAGGCGATGCGCAGGAGTGCTTCTGAGGAAGTCTGCGACAGCAGCGTCCCGTTTGCATCAGTCGCTGTCGCTAAGTCCTCCGGTTTCCATCACATGAAAAACTGAAGTTCTTTTGACCGTTTACGTATTTCTTTTTGTGGGCTTCAAAGCTTCGGTGTGCCAACTGAAGCACGCGATCAATGCTGTCTGCCTGCACTCTCCTCTGCCTGTCTGATCTACTGTCTCTCCATCTGTCTCCAGCAGCCATGGGTGGCTCCAGACAAAAGCATGTGCGACATCACCACCACCAACACCCCCAGTTCGCCAGGAAAGACCCAGTATCATTGCGTAGGAAAGGAG